CTTCTCTCCTTGATTAGTTTCCACCCATTGCTTCTTGTTCTACCCTCAGGTGCCTTGGAGAATAGCTTGACTCCCTCTTCTTTGTGGCAGCCTCTGAGATATTTGTCAGCACTCATCATGCAGCTATGCATGTGTCCAGCAAAGACATTAGCCAGGCTCCCTATTGCAGACAATGTAGCTGGGCAGAGTCCAGGAGCCCCATCACGGGAGAAACAGGTCCCTTCTCTACAGGTTTATGGGGCATTTCGCCTTTCCAGCTCACCTGGGAATGGATGGTGAAGACCCACTCATACTGCAATTTCTTTTTCTCTGACTGGATCCGGAGTGGCTGCTTGCAAGTGACCCTCACGCCATCCACGGCCTCCGAAATCTGATGGGGAAAGCCACAAGGTGAGAAAACAAGGCAGGAGAATCAAGGAAGGGATCATCCCAAAGATGCTTTCTCAAAAGGCAACTGAATTTTCTGGTTTTTCTATGAAGATGTTTTGCTTCTCAGCCAAGAAGCATCTTCTGCTCTGACTGGCTGGTGGGGAATGGAAGGATTTGCATCCTTTTAGCTAGCTGTTGAAGGTTTATCTGTGTCCTCAGAGTCACCTGGATGGTGCCAATGGGTGTGGAGCCACCTTGGAACAGTTTTTTAAAAATGTTTTATTTATTTCATTTATTTATAATACTTTTCATCTCCATCAAACAGTGTGTGAACTGGGTACTATTATTTGAGCATTTTATTTTTTGTTATTATATTCATTACAATAAGGGGTGGACTTCAGTTCCCAGCATTCCCAGCAATTGGGAGTTGAAGTCCACTATCTTCAAGTTTCCAAGTCACAAAAACTTTAGTCTAGGCCTAGGGGATTCTTAAGCAAGCAGTTGTCTAGAGAAAAGATCTTTGCCCTAAGATATTGACTGAACCCCCAGAGACAAGAGCAGCATACCTGAATGTTCAACTCCACAAGCAAGGTAAGCCTGCAACTTTTAGCCCATGTGTTTGAGCTGCACAAAAGCAAAATATCTAGAGGATTCCCTCTCTTACCACAAATACAAGTTTCCCTGCCACAAACCACACGCCTATCAGCTTAGAATCCCCAAATTACAATTAAGACTTCGTTGTGGCTCGATTGGTACTCGGCAATAAGTCGATCCTGGTAAGCTAAGAGGCCGTCCTGCTTGGCCGTCTTCTTCTTTCTCTGGGCAATTTTCGCCCGCTGGATCCACTCTTCCAATTCCTGGACCGAATGCGCCCTGGCACAATCCTCCCCATATTCACAAATGTCTGGTCTGAAGCATAGAGGGAGAAAAAAAAAGAGACAAAAATCGATCAGTGATAAAGGCTTGGAGGTACATTTAAGGAGACCAATAAATCTGTACCTCATGAAAGAGAATATTTGCAGATCAGGGTTGAAATGAGGGGTCCTTGGTGCTCTCTGAGCTTGCTTGTTTTCTTGTAGACATTTCATTACCCAACTAGGTAACGCCATCAGTACTCATAAGGAGTGCTGTTTGCTGTCAATACGCTTCAAGGCGCTAGTCGTCACTTATAAAGCCCTTCATGGTATTGGACCTGGGTACTTGAGAGACCGCCTGCTGCCAATTACCTCCACTAGACCCATTAGATTCCACAGATTAAGCCTCCTCCGTATTCCATCCGCCGGCCAGTGTCAACTGGCGACTTCTCGGAGGAGGGCCTTCTCTGT